AGAAATTTTGGGCGACCCCCCCCGTCGCCGCCACTTTCAAAACATTCAAAAATAGCGACAATAACAGCGCCGCAGGCGAAAAAATTTAGAAAACCGCGTTGGAAACGCTTAAATTCGTGTGAAAACACATCGGAAACGGCGCGCGCAAGCGAAAGTTTTCTCAGCAAAAATGGTGCACTAATGAAAACGGGCGCCGCAGGCAAAAAAATTTAGGAAAATGGGTTTTTTAGAAGTAAAAATCGTTTCAAAACAGTGATAAACAGCGCCGAAGGCAGAAAAATTTTTGAGGAAAAATCCTAAGGGTTCCCCCGGTAAGTTTTGGCCTCGCCCCATAGATTTTGCCTCTGAAAGGTTTCGCTATTTTCGCCATTTTGATCGGGATTTTTTAAACGCCATTCGATAGAGCGTCAAAAATATACGAAGAGTTTTAATCTAAGCCTACAATAATGTAAAATAAATCTCGCAGGCAAAATGTTTACAAATCAAACTGATAGATTCTCGAAAAACTAGTGCTGCAAAGCGAAAATTCTTGAAAAAATAGGTTTTATTGCGGTTTAAATTTTTAAAAACAATAATAAATAGCGCCGCAGGCAGAAAAATTTTTATGAAAAAAATCATAAGGGTTCCCCCTTATGAACTTTTCGGACCTCGCCCGATTTCGGGGGGCACCGTGCCCGGTGCCCCCCACCCCTCGTACGGGCCTGGGTGGGGGTAAGGTCCACTTGACGCTTATTGGCTTCCGCTCATCGAATCGGGGCTATCCGCTGTGGCTACAGTCTTCCCGTACTTTGTAGCCTCGCGGAAGTTTGTGCCGTAACCGGATTCTGGCTTGGTGGGGATCGATGGATGGAAGATGGCTGGCGGAGTGGATGGATGAATTGACGCACTTTATCTGAAATAAATTAACTTAAACTAATCGTTTTAAATCAATTAAATTGACTAAAGTTAAATAAAGAAATTTCCAATAAAAAATTGTATGGTAGTTTTACTATTTAATCAAATATCCTACCTTATATAATTTGGTCGCGTATCTTTGTGTGTGTGTGTGTGTGTGTGTGTGTGTGTGTGTGTGTGGATGTCACTTTCGAGGCCCGATTTGAGGGCCTTCCTATGCATAAAACGCTCTGATTCTTCGTCACTTGGAGGAATCGACCCTCCTCTTTCCGATGGCGTTTTCAGCATTTCGATAAAATATAATTTTACAGAGTTAAAGCCGGTTTTATTCATTTTTGTGGGTACCTGAGGGCTAATTTGCATAATGTGAAAAAATACAAATTTCCTCATTCTCGGGGTTAGCGGGCGGAGCCCGCTAACCCTTTTTGGGTTGAGTTACCCCCCCACGCGGCTCTTTTTGGGTCCTTTTCCCGATTTCAGCGGCAACCATGCACCGGATCGTAAAACTAAATATACCATCGGAACCGGCCGGATTTTTTGCATAAGATCGGCTTTTCAAATTTTTAAAAAAGTTAATTTTCGAATTTTAAGAGCGGTTTTATTTTGTACTCAGAGGGGGGGGTCTGCGTTTGTCAGGATGTCTTTCCGTCCGCAAAACCTTTGTAGTCGTCGAAAAGTGCCTTCCCATGGACGGTTTTGGCTGAAAATTTGCACAGGTATTGGCTTAATGCTAATCTCGGTGAGGAAGAAGCGTTTTTTTCAAAATAGGCCTTTAAAAAAATTTTATTAAACTTTGAAGTTCGAAATTTAAATTGCACCCAAAAGGTGGCTTGTCGAAGTCCGATTGCGCTGAAATTACTCATAGTGATGCCTTGGCCCTTGTTCTAGCATTAACTGAAGAGATTATTGAAATATAAACGTTCTACTTTGAGATACGGCCGGATTACGTGAAAATCTGAGGTCGCAATACGGGGCGCCCTTCCTGTCTGGGCCTCTCCTTGCCCTCCCCACTAATAGACACATATCTCGTCTCCCCCCCCCGCCAATTAACAGACCCTACTTGTTACATTATTTTTATCAAACTTATTTGGTTTGGATAGGACGATTTTAGCACCGAGGATCTATCTTTTCGATAATCACTCCTCTGCTTCCTCAACTGGGCTTCCCCCTTGCGACATGTATTCTTACCAAACTTCAGTTGAGTTGAAGCTACCGATTATGGCACCGATGATCAATCTTTTTCGTTGACCCCTAGCTTGCCCATAATGCGCCCGAGCATTTGGAGGCATCATCGAAAATATTTCTACGCAGAATTAGCACCACAGGCAAAAATATCCGAAGAATATATTTAGTCAGAAATTGTATTAAAACCACTATTTAAAGGTGCAGGAGGCTAAAAGGGGACAATTAATAAAAATCATAAGGGGCCTGGCAAATATGTACGGTAATTATTAGCGAACCCCTCTATATTCTTATGATTCAATCCATCATTTCCTATGCCAAAGTTTCGAATCAACTACTACTCCCCGAGTGGAAAGAGATGCAGCCTACAAAAAGGATGCATTAGCGCAGTTTAGAAGATTTCCGATCTGTCATATGTAGCCGATAAGTATTAAGTAGCAAGTGTATTTGCATTGCTTGTTCGATTCTAGATAGCTGCCAGACCCTTTTAGTCTTTTGCATAAAGATTAGTCGAGGTGGAGTGCGCCTAAATGCCGGCCATTAGTGCGCCCCAGAGTCGGGCTCGTGAGAGATCAGGCTGATAATGATAACGACATCTGCCTTACGCGGGAATAATAAAAAAATATCCCAGTTCCCAAGGTCAGTTAAAAAGCTGGTCTGCACGAAAGTGTATTATTATTTTAAGAACAGAGTTCAGTCAAAAAGGGCAAAATTCTCTTTAGCTAAAAAGAGATTCTTTAAAAAAAGGGTTTTTGGGTTCGAAAAAAGAGCGAGATTCTCTGATGCAGCAAAAAGCGTCGAATTCCCTAACCTCCGAAACATGAGAAAATTCGAAGGATCAACCAAAAATTGCTGGCACCCAGGAAACCCCGCTTAATTTTGACACTTTAATTGGTTTTTTATTTCGGCACTCTGAAATTTTCCTGCCTTAGTACTAATCAAAAATAAAATCGAATATAACTGTCATAATCATGCTATTTTCAAGCACGTGGTTACCTCGTGATAAGGCGTGGTGACGCAGAACATCGAAAAGCGGCAAAAATGCCAAATATTGGAATTGAGTGGCGTTTGAAACTGCGCTTTGGGCCTGTACCCGGCAATTTTTGGTTGATCCTTCGAATTTTCTCATGTTTCGGAGGTTAGGGAATTCGACGCTTTTTGCTGCATCAGAGAATCTCGCTCTTTTTTCGAACCCAAAAACCCTTTTTTTAAAGAATCTCTTTTTAGCTAAAGAGATTGCCAGTTGCACTCGCGCGTGTGGTCGGGGGTGGAGGGGTCCGCAGGACCCGAGCTATCAGAAAGTCAAACTTTTCATGCAAAGGCCGCATTCCAGCGCCCAAGGCCCGCGAAGCGGGTTTTGGGCGCTGGTCAAATAAATAATAGATTCACTTAAATTCGTCTAAAATCAAATTGCTAAAATATCTACGCATATTCTTGTGGTAGAATGGTGGATATGGGGTGGTGGAGATAGATGTAAATGTGACTGATTAGGCCCTGAAAACATCGGAAAATCAGAATATCGTTAGGTAACTTATACCGTATCCGATTTTCCATTTTTCATTCAATCCATCATTTTTCGATTTTCATCTCCATTTTCGGTATATGTCGGCTACGCGGGGGGGCGGGGGGAATTTTACGCGGGGGGACGGGACAGGCAGGCCTTTTTGGACGTTTTCGTTATTTTCTCGGAATTTTCGCAACGTCATTCGATAGAGCATCAAAAAATATACTAAGAGTTTTTGTTTTAGCTAAAATTAGTGTAATATAAAAAAGGTATGGCAAATACAAAAATAAGCTTTGAAAATCGGTTTGAGCGGCTGTTTTTCGACATTCGCGCTTATTTTTCGACATTTTAAAGATGCCATTCGATAGAGCATCCAAAAATATACCAAGAGTTTTAATTTTAGATCAAAATAATGTAATATAATATAGTTATAACAAAAACAACTATAAAACGTTGTTTTCATGGAGGATATAGAAGGAAGTCAAATTTTCGACATTTTCGACATTTTTACAAAATTTCTTTAGTGCCATTCGACAGAGCGTCAAAAAATATACTAAGGGTTTTGTTTGTAGCAAAAATAAACGCAAAAAAATAGTTAGGTCGGCCCCAACAGTCCGTCCCCCCGCGTAAAATTCCCCCCGCGTAGCCGACATATACCCCATTTTCTATTTGCGTAGGTTAATTTTAAAAATCATGCTTGCAGGGGTTCTTTGGCAAATGCTAAGATTCTTTATAACTTTTATGGTTATTCGATAATTTTAATTATTTTAAGATTTACAGTAGCTGTAGCTCCACCTGCTTGTAGTAATAAAAATAGAAATAAAATCGATGAATTCGCTGCATAATGCGAAGCTGATTTATAGAGTGAGTCGTGATTTTTGCGAATCCTGGATATGCCCTGAAGGGATATGGGGGGATGTGTCCATCAAAGAATATGACAGTCGACAAATAATAAGAGAAGGGAGCAGGGGAGGGAGATTGACGCCCCACACACGCACCCAATCAGTCGCTGAGATATGCTGATTTTTGCGCAGAAGCCTAGGAAAAGATCGAACAATGCGAAAAAATTTGCTCATCAGACTTCCCAAAAGATTTTTAAATGGCTCAAGTCTAGGAAACCCCCCCAGCCGACTTTTCAACTTTTCTACCTTCCTTATTTTTATTTTTCGCTACTTTTTCGACGGAACTGCAATGTAGTCTTACTAATTAGCCTACGGCGAACATTTTGGTATACTTTAGAGCTCGCTAGCACAAAGGGGGGCCGAGATACAAAAGTTGGTGACGGCTGGGGGGGGGGGTTTCTAGACTCTTACCTTTTAAATGTTGGTAATGTCTGTAAAATGAGTTTAATTTTTAGAGGTAGCAATTTATTCAAAAAATTCTTCCAGATCAACACTGGAAAAGGAAAGGAGTTTCTTCAGCACATTTCATCGAATTCCGTACAATAAGACATATCTGGTAGAGGACCCTTCAAATAGTCGAAACAATTGATATCATCGAATGTAGGGCGGCAATTTGCCTGAAAATCAAATGTGGCATTCGGTATCTGGTATTCGACAAATATCTCGCATCCAATTCACCTACCGTCCATACCAGCGGCTTCCCCCCCTCCTTTTCCATTGTCCGTTTATATGTCGATTCATTGATCTTCTCCGATGTCACTTTCATTGTCTCGTCTTTTGCGATGATGCCCAACTAAAATTTCGGTTTTTCTTACAGCCTCTGAATACTTTTAATATTTGATTGGCAATTACTCGGCATCTTCCAACATGACCCAACATTTATTTGGACTGACTGACCTGCATTTGCTCGTATTTCGAGCTATCGGAGGGAGAACCCATGGAAATATTGAAGTATCTGTGCAATTCCCTAGTATAGTGGAAGACAGATGCTGTCCTACCGATCCGATCCATAACGCAAGCTGAGTGTGTCGTGCTGAAATGGAGGCTTCATAATGACCATGAAAATAGTCATTACCTTGTTGAAATCGAAGATCCGGAGATATCGGCTAGTACTAAATTAGAATATCAATAAAAAGTATACAAATGTTATTATTTATCGCGGATTAATAGATGCCGATCTACCGGCCAACTCCAAATCCCCAACTTGTAAAATTCGAGATCTCTGTCAAAATTCCATGACGATACTTAGCGGCGAGGGATGAGAGACCAATGCAAAATTATGTCTTCCAAATTTCCCGAACAGGCTAATAAAAAGAAGCTACGCGTCTATTGTGAAAATACACGTAAAGTATTTGCTTGGATATTTTCGAGGATATCTCTTGATGCTTACCTCCCGTCCTTTTCGTGTGTAATCAACGCAATTCGAACATTATATTTCTCCTCAAAATCCCTCTGTTTCTCACCGATAAATGGCAAATGCTGAGCAGAAAAATGTAACATAATTTGACAAATTCAGAATACCAAGGGGCCACGGTGGATGGAATATCCCACACCCCCTGATGTCCCTCCATTCAAAAGTTTCTAAAAAGAATTTTTTTATCGGGTTGTCTATTTTTTTTTTATTTACCTGTATAATTCGAATGACAAATGATGAGAAGTTGATCCCTGCCTTTATCCGATAATCACCTGTGGATCATATTACAGAACGTAGCATAAAATTTTCGCTTCAAAAATTATTCAAGGCAGTCCAATGAAAGATAACATTCTGGATTAAACTTGCAGATCAAAACTATTCTTAAAAATATCCCAACTCGATTGCCGCAAGAAATTTCTTGGCAATTGAATAGAAAAAGAAGACGATTGATTACCCCCCAACGTTAGTTGTTTCCATACACCGGCCCATTCATAAACAGTCATCTATAGAACGGTTTATATAAAAAGGGGGATATGGTTTACCTCGGATGGATATTCTTGACTGTTGTTAAGTGCGAGGCAGCCGCTGGTTTTCGACAATACCCCCTAAATTCTTTTAAGAATGCTATGTTTAAAAAATTAACGTGAAAATAGAAATAATGAAAGGGGGTAATTCCTTCAAAAAAGCAAACAAAACCATACGCGGAATATTGGAGCATGAAGGATATTGATCATCCGGCTGATTTCACAAGATTTGGCCGAAATGAAGAACAAATTGATTTCTTGATTTTCTTTCCGAATATTCCCTAACATCCTTTTGTTTATTCTTATCTTATCTTTTGAATATCCTTATCTTTATCTTATCTTTATCTTATCTTTATCTTATCTTTATCTTATCTTTATCTTATCTTATCTTTTGAATATCCTTTTATTATACAAAGATAAAATACCTAATCCCTCAATGAAAGAACAATACACTTTCTGAAGGTCCGTTTTTCCCTTCACAAATCGATGCTCAGTCTTCCACCCATCGCCTCGAATTCTAAAAGTTGTGCACTTCCCCTTCTAATATAAATCGCTACGTACCCCATGTAAAGGTCAAATCCATATTCCGATGTGAACTCAGCTGGCTGAAAATAGAACTAAAAATTTCCAAACGTCTTCTCACAATCATTTTCCTCTCGATCGCTTTCTTCACCCATTTCTCTCTTTCATCCACTGTCACTTCTTTTCCTTCTCTCATTTTGTCGATCATTTCCACGAGTTTATCAGAAGCTATATGCTAAATCGTATAAAATAATCTCCTATTAAATAAGAGAACAAGCTACAGAATGCAAACAAATGAGAATCTTAAGCTACAGACTACAGGGCAAAAAAAAGCCCACAGTTTGGGTCGAAATAACTCGCGAACGGTAGAGAATCGAAGGTACGTTACCATGCCAGAATGCTTAAATATGCTGGGTATGAAGATTTAACACAACTTGATTTTTTCGATTTTTGGCGACGTATCAATACAAATGACACCCGAAAACTGTGCGTTCGGGGAAACTTCATTTGCTTTTTTCTGAGTTTCCTGTGGAGGCTGGCATCTAATTTTTATTATGTAAGTTAATATAAGAGGCAGATATGTACCTATAAAATTTAAGAATTTTTGAGGGTCTGGTTGAAAAGTTAGAGAGGAATGAAATTTTGTATGGAGAAATTTCGTAAATTTTTAATATTAAAAAAACCTATGGCGAAAACCTCGAAATCAGTTGTTGTGGAATATCTACGAGCCCGTTACAATCGCATAAAAATCTTAAAAAATTTTTTGAGATCGATGAATTTTCGAGTGTTTCAACGATCATGGATTTTTCGAGGTCTCGAAACCCAACTTTGGAAAAATATTTCTAAATTGCCAAAGGGGACTCAGCTATTTTCTTTGCTTAGCTATGTAGAACTGGGTTTGATCTATCATCTACAAAATGTCGATCTACCGTATCTCTTTGGAAGGGCCTCTTTTAGGGCCCCCAAAACGGTTGGTTCGTGCTTTTTTCCATACCTTGTCACCATTTTATAAATTTCAATCGCGCTGTGAAAATTATCGTTTTATTTTTGTCGGATACCAGTTGAATAGCGCATCCTAAAGCCTTATTCATGAATTTTTTTTTTAACCAGCCCTTGGCGCCAGGAAAATTCATCAAAAAGCGAAATAAACCGAATTGGAGGTTGCGTCAAAAATTTTTGGAAGTTGGAATCGTAGGGATATTTTGAGCAATAAGTCTGTGCCATCAGTTGAATAAAACTATGCAAAGACTAATACAATTTTCCGTCGAAAAATTTTTAAAAAGCATTTTAAACTTCGATTTTGGAATAGGGTGATCTTCGATTTTGAGCTGAAAGTCACCATGATCATGAATCAGATTGCCCCCAAATTTGACGGGCGTAGATAATAACATCAAAGCTATAACCGTATCCATATGACCCAGCTGGTTTTTTATTTTTAAAATTTCGGAAATTGACCCCGGCTACTCGGACCAAAAATCGGCTCTCTGGCCTATTTTGCACTTGGCCTCGTAACTTTGTTATTTACCACCCAAAATCAGTAATTTTTAACAGATTATCTTACAATCACCTCTAGAAGGCCCTCGAATAGAAAAATCGTCACTTTATGGAATTTTGTGATGGCATGCTAAAACGCGCTCCACGTGGGTTACTGTAGAAAACCGAAATTTGCGATTTTCGTGGTGTTTTTGCCATGAAATCGCTTCGATCTTGTAGGAAAACCAATAGTAGCAGTTTTTGGATCAATTGACCAAAAAATTTACAAAATTCTGCCGCAGAATTAAAAAATCAGTTTTCAGTCCTTTTCATGAAAGTTTGTGGATAGTACGCTCTCGTATTTGGGAGTGATGTGCCCCTACTTATTGCCTAACAACGCAGAAAATTTCAGTCGAATCGAAGCTAAGGGCCCCGAGAAAACCGGGGAAAACGAAACCTACAGTACCCCGCGGGGGTACGTTTTAGCAAGCAATACAAAAATACCATAGATTGTGGTGGCTCTGGTGTGGAATCCGATATTAATATCTGGATAGGTCATTGACAAAATATCAGCCATGAGTAGTCTGTTAGAAGCAAGTTATGACCCAAAGAACAAAAATAACGCAATATCGCGAAAATTGTTTTGCCTTTAAAAAATGAAATTGACCTCGAAAAATTCTAAGATTTTGCCATTACATTTCTACAAATTTATACTATTTTTAGGCCAAAAATCAGAAATTTCCCACCTCTCGTTCAAGAACGCACAGTTTTCGGTCGTAACCAGCGTCAATAGTACAGTTTCGTACTCAAAAATCGAAAAAATCAAGTTGTGTTAAATCTTCATACCCAGCATATTTAAGCATTCTGGCATGGTAACGTACCTTCGACTCTCTACCGTTCGCGAGTTATTTCGACCCAAACTGTGGGCTTTGTTTTTGCCCACCCTGTAGTTATACCTCAATGAAGTCAAGCTCTGCCATGGTGGCCACACTGCTCATTTCGGGTTCTAGAACTGACTGAAAGGACGCTTGGAAATGAGGAACCTGCTTGAATGCCAATTTCTGTCGAGATCCCTACTTCTCCATTGTCAATTAATTGCTAAAAAGAGCCAAATTGAAGTCAGAGTAACAGCAGACCTGAAATCCAGTTTTCATTCGATGCATTTGCCGTTGAATATCGAGGAGATAATTCTGGTAATTTTGTGAAAATTCGAAATGTAGATTGACAGCCGCCACGTATTCAGCACAATTTCTCGTTTCTCTAATTGATGCCAACAGCAGATGCTGTTTCTAGAATACAAACAATAATACAAAATATAAAATTTACCTCGCTCAATGCTTCAATTTCCTCCCGAAAAGCATTCGCCAGCTTTGTAGAAAGTGGTGCGATGTTTTCAGCGACCCAATTCTGTATAGTATTCGAATGAACGAGTATCTAAGGATACATTTCGTTTTATAAATTTTTTCTGAAACCTGTGCCTCCTCCAATGCAATCCATGTATTCACCGGCTCATCGTTGAAAAAATGATGTTTTTGGTAGCATCGGATGCAGTTGATCAGTCGGGGCATCTAAATAGATTCGGGGTATTACGTAGCCCTTATGGACTTACATTTTCACGAAACACTTCGAAATCTACTTCGGCCAACAGTCTTCCAGTGTCATTTTCGAACTCGCGTCTTTTCATCAAGATATCATCCACAGGATTGTCATTGTTAGGACATCGTGTACAACGGTATTTCTCTGTACACCATGATATCTATAAAATTACCTTCAGTTAACATTGCGAGCTATATATTTCTGCTAATGACAATCATATTAACTATTGATCTCTTTATAAAACCGCTCGAGGAATCTGCCCGCTTCGTTAGGAACGTACAGGGTGACCCGAAAGAGTGGTGACCGGAGCTTGTATATAGAATTTCTCGTTTCCATTATAGGTGCGGGCAAAGTGGGGGCTATGGGTTCTGTTTCCTAGTTTTTCGCTAAATTTGGGCAAACGCAGAGCGCACGACGCAGCCACCTTTTTGAATAGGAATTTAATCGCATAATTCAAGATCTGCGATTTTTTGAAATCGACGAAATCTAAAATAAATTCCTGTTGGTGAAAATACTTATCGATACCTTGCCCATCTCTTTAAGGAGGGTGCCTGTCCTTTCTGGTAAAGATCGGGTTGCAGCTATGGCTTAGAACTCTCCAACATGGTCAAGTGACTGTGGCCCGTTATTAAAAGTACACTAAAATCTCGTTCAAAAAGTTCGGTTGCGGTACGAAATTTGGGCTCTCTGCCGAAGCCAACCCTAGCCCCTTCTTATGGCCTCTCCACTCCCCCCCCCCTCCCGTCTGTCCCATGGCCTAGTGTTCCAAAGCGCTTGCCCCATGCGAGGGGCGCGGGTTCGGTTTTGCTCCGCCGTGAGCCCCTTCCGTAACCCTGTTTGCTATCCCGCGGACGGTTACCGGCCGGTAACCAAGCCAACGAGACTTTAGTGTACCTTTAAGGCTTTTGACCAAACCGTTTTTAGACGGACAAAAGACTCATCATGCAGCCCCAACCCAACCCCGCAGATTTTTTCGTGCTGTTGGTCTGAAAGGGCAGAGTCTTGGCCACTTCCCATCCAAATTTGAATTCGCTCGGAACCGTCTTCGCCGAGTTATGAGCCAAATTCGGATTGAGTGCCTCCGTGCCAGCACCCCCGTTTTCCATCAGCGTCCCCGCAGTTTTTTTCCGGTGGCGTGACGGGGGTGAAAAAACCCTGTGGAAGATAATTGTTTAAGAAATATAATGTGTTCTTATGAGCTTTCCTGCATCTATATTTTTTCAGAAACTCGAAAAAGTTTTGGTCAGCACTCTTTCGGGCCACCCTGTAATGGAACATACCATGTCTTCAACTGAATACATTGCTCGCAAGTTCTCAGCTAGAAAATGTCAAGAAGACTAAGTGAAAAGGCTTGCAGAAGAAGAAGCCGGTTTCCCCCGCTTATCAGAATTTGGTCACGCCCATTTTCTTGCAGCAAAAATTTGTGCCACCTCGCCAGGGCATAATCGATATCTTGAATACAACTCGTCGATCGATGTCGCGGAATCGAACCCGGACCCTCCGCCCGGTAGCCCTGTGGCGCAGTGAGTAGAGCGTCGGCGTGCCAATCCAGAGCTGGCGCCAGTTCAATCCCAGCCCCCTCTCAGAAGCCGAATTTCTTTTTGCTCTTTTTTGCAATCGATTCGTCTCGGTCCCTAGATGCATTTCTATATCTCAGATTTTTCGAAAGCAAAAATTTTCATTTTTTGGGGTCAGTTTTACCCCTATTTTCCCACATAAAAGCGGATAAAACTAATTTTTAGAGAAGTCGGCGCATATCAAGCGATACACCATTCGATACAGAAACTTTAGGTGCGTCTGCCCATGATATAGCCAATATGCGCTGTTTTCTCTAAGATGTCGAAGATGTCGAAAAACTGTTTTTAGTATTTGATTTAACTACGTTCCGGCCATTTTCAGGCTTCACAATGTATTAGAGAAATGATCCCCACCCCAAAATTAGTATCGTCACAAATTTTTAGCAAATTTTGTTGGGTATTTTTCGAGATAGTTTTTTGAGGTCGGCAACTTTAACGTTCATTTTCACCCCAAAATTAAACTTTTGAAACTTTCAAAACTTGGCAGCCCTACTAATTTGACCATGCTCTATCCGATGCCGTCAAACAACGGGGTCGAAAAAAACTGTGCCAAGCCTTGTGCGGGTGGCTCGCAAACGGTCTTTTAACTATCAATCGAAAACTCTTGAAAAAAAAGCGGGTTTCGTTTTCTAAAATCGAATCTAATTCCATCGATATTTCAGGTTTTTCTAAAAAAACTGGTACTTTTTCAACAAGAATTTCGCAATTAGCATGTATATCTTGCATAAATCAGCAGTTTTCATGGTTTTTGGACGTAAAATTAGCGAATAAAAATGCCTAATAAAGAAAATGAACCCTCGTTGTTTTCTCGCCTTTTCGAGATACGGCTGCGGACTGCTAGTAGGGGGTTTGGGACACCCTGTATGTATTCGCTTAATAAAACGGTCCAAATTATTGATTTTTTAGAGCTGATTAAGGGCAGCGGTCCTAAATTCGCGGGCGCCCTCGGACTGCCAGGGAACCGGCAGGCTTACGGCGGGTGATCGAAAACGATACGAAGCTCCTTACCTCGTCTCAAGTTCTGGCGTAGTATCTCCTGATTCGCGGTGATATCGTTCCCGACTAAACTTGTACTTCACAACTCATGCATAATGTTCCTTTTTTGGTCATCGGAATCCGAGGTAGTCGGGGATAAGGCGTAAGTTTGCCTATTATAAGGCATTTTATGTATGAACCGAAAGGCGCGCAGATATTCCTCTTTCTCAAATATTCCACCACGCCGTTTTGTCAACAAATCCCAAAATGAAAGTGATCCGAAGCCGAGATGCCGCTGGCAGGCGAGAGATTCGGTTTCTTACGAGACAGCCGGTATCAAGACAGGCACACAAGGATAGCGGGATAGGGCACACAAACCCTTATCTAATGATAAATGTATTTTTAACATGCTTTTTTCGGGCCATAAAACGCTCCTAGTATATTTTTCGGCCCTCTATCGAATGGCATTTTCAAAATATCGAAAATATTCAAAACTCCGAAAATCCCCACCCCCCCGTTATCCCATGTACTGCCCATAGTTTTCAAAAATAGTTATTAGGCTATAAAACCTCTATAATACATTTTTTTTGTGTTGTAAAAAATATCTTAGTAAATTTTGTGACGTTCTTTTGATTCGGATTTTCAAAATATCGAAAATCTCAAAAATTTGGCTTCCCCCGTTATCCTATGTGCCCATGGATTTTGATCAATTTTTGCTTATTTAATAAAAATTTTTCATGACATTATTTCGGGCTGAAATTAATTCTCTTAGGATATTTTTCGACGCTCTATCGAATGGCACTTGCAAAATCCCACCGTAATTACAAATTTCATAAAATGAGTGCCCCTTGGTTAGTTTATTCGCACCCAGCTATCCTACGAATACTTGCTAATCTACAGGGTGTCCCAAAAAACCCCCCCCCCCCCCTCTAGCGGTCCGTGGGAAGCTCAGATCAGGATGGTTTTTGATACCATTCGAACGCCCGCGGAAAGGCGAGAAAACAAGCGGGCTTCATTTTCTAAGATTTATTCTGATTCCTCCGATATTCAGCGTTTTTCTAAAAAACAGGTATCTTTTCAATAGGAATTTCGCAATTAGCATTCGGATCTCGCGTAAATCAGCCGTTTTCATGGATTTTGGAGGTAAAATTCGCCAATAAAAATACATAATAAAGAAAATGAACCCTCCATGTTTTCTCGCCTTTTCGAGAGCTTTCGATAGATACCTAAACGGCGAGAATCGGACACGTCTGGGCGCCGCTAGAGGGGGGGGGGGGTTTTGGGACACCCTGTACTGATTCTAAGCGGATGAAGGAGGGATAGCCAAAATCTAGCATTGGCTGTCGTGAAAAGTTTTCGCGGGAGGACCCGTAATTAAAAATTTTCAGACGGGCCCGAACCGGTTTTTAGAAGAATTCTGGGAAAATAAAATTGGACACAGCTGGGGAATTGGAGATTATCGAACCCACAGGGCAACAGGTGGAGCGGCCTGAAGGGTGGGCCTTGTTGCCGCTTAGCTAAATAATGTATATAAATCAATAGTAATGCAAGAGCCAACTATATATAAAAAATAGTGCTTGTGTGTGAGTGTGTATATTTGCATGCACTTCCGTTTACTCGGAGGCTGTAGGTGGGGGACATCCAGCCTTTTTCGGCAGGGAAGAAACGTCATAGGGTAAAGAAGGGCCCGCATCGACTGCACAGACATAAAATCTTTGAAAAATTGCTATTTTCGCTATTAAAATTAAGTTTTTGTCACTTCTTGGCTTCCCTCTTTGTTAAAGCGCACGTTCAGGGAGGGGCCGTATACTCGTCCCAACGTATACACCCTATGGACGTAGGGACCGCGCGCACTGCCTGCCCGTGCTGGGACAGGCCATTCCCCTCCTTTGCGGCATGGGGCGCCCCTCATCCCCTCGCCAGGTTGTAGCTGTGGCTGACTGGTATCCATTCGCGCCTCTCGAGCGGGAGGCCCGGGTTCGACCCCCCGGCCGCGGCAAACAAAACTTTGCTTTTTCCAAAAAACGTCCCTGAACGTGCCCTTTAAGGAGAAATTAGCAGACGCCGGAAGTGGAGATGGCTTATAAAAAGGAAGGCAGGGTGTGATGTTCGTTTTTGATGGTAGGTTTTCGGCAAGAATTATGCAAAGTCATGACTTTCATTGGTCCTAGACGGGGCCATGGTCGAAAAGCCGCGAAGCGGTTTTTAACCCTGGTCTTGACTAATCGACTAATGCATCGTCAGACGGTAGTTCAAGAAACACCAACCGTTCCGTTTCCGAGGTGGCTGTTGATGGATATCTTAACAAAATTTTAGTAGTAGTTAATATCACTTTATCTTTATTACTCTCTCTCTATCTCTCTCTCTCTCTCTCTCTCTCTCTTTATCTGTCTCTCTCTTTCGCCCTAGTATTGAGGTTCTCACTAGGGGCTGGTATCAGGGGCAGGGCTGCCGGAGCTACTGGCACCATCGGCATGGGCTAAAAGACTTGAGGATGGTAGCACAGTAAGAAACTCACGTGCAGCTGTCCCGGTTGAACATAGGATGCCTGTGGGGGCATGGGCTGAGGGTAGCCCGGTGGATATCCCTGGACTTAAATGGAATTATTTTTTGGGGCGCATACCTGTGGAAGTCCAGCGTAGGCAGGATAATTTGGATACTGCTGCCCAGCATTTGGGTTGATCGGCTGCTATAAACGAGTGGTTTGCATGCGTGCTGCTGAATGCGTTCGCCAGGTACAGCTGTGTAAAGTATACCAAAATAATCGTCTTGCCCTAGCGAACATTTTGGTATATCTGAAAGCTCTATAGAACGAAGGGGGCCGTGATACATTAGATATTTTAGATACTCTTCTGGGGGAGGGGATCAGGAGCAGGTCGAGCAGATCAGATCAGGCAGATGCCTTGTCATAACCCGCAAAGTTCAATAAGACCTGTTGGTTTCCGCCAGCAACCGGCTGAGCACCTGGATTCAACGGCTGGTGGCGCAGGTAATTGTCCAGATCAGCTAGTATAGCTTGTTGCCCACCTAAAACTAAGAGTATGGGGTTTCCCAAAAAAGACCCCCTACCTAGCGGTCCGCATTCGATTCCGATTTTTACGATTTAGGTGTCTATCGAAAGCTCGCGAAAAGGCGAGAAAACAAGGCGAAATAAGTTTTTTTTACGTTTATCCTAGGAATTACACGATCTTTTCTTTATTATGTATTCTTATTCGCTAATTTTACGTCTAAAAACCATGAAAACCGCTGATTTATGCAAGATCCGCAGGCCAATTGTGAAATTCCTGTTGAAAACATACGAGTTTTTACGAAAAACCTTAAACACCAAAAACATTGTGGTGGGTCCCCTGTTAGCAGCGTCTGGCATGTACCGCAAGCGACCAGCGAAAAACTGACCGATGGTCTCCGCGTCGTCGTCGCTGTCATGCCGATCGGGATAGTGATTAAAAATACCTATGAAGCTGCGAATCCCACATTAACTTATGCTTACGGCCATAGGCTTCGTGCCAATCGGGTCGCTTTCGATCGTTCTGCCGCAAGGCTGTCGGTACACCGGCCAGTGCTAGTAATACTAGCCATACCAATACGGCGTATAGCCCCATCTTTTTGGGAGAAATGGGGGGAGTTTGTGCACGCGCTGGCGTTGAGAAGGCGCATGCCGAGCGGAATTAATAGATTTCACAGCGTGGAATATCCGAGTCGAAAGTGGTACAAAGAATGCTTGGTAATCTTGCGTCGTATTCACACCTAGCCATATCGGATTAGCTGGCTAAAGGGATCAAGAAAGCCCAGAAAAATGAGTGTAAAACGTGCTTTAGTTCTAAAATTAGCATAAATTTTCTCTGCTCCCTGCTGCCTTGGGCCACCAGCTGCTCATTTATTTGCATTAGCATTTCCGGTTGGCTCATTCCCAATTACAGATGAGACCTGATCTACTGGGCCTTCCTTATCCTGTTAAAGATATGTTGCTTCACACCCAGTTAAGGTCCTTCTTTGAAATTCGGCCTGGCGGCCAAGAACTTTTCATTACAGAAAACACACATATTTTTCTCGCTTATAGGATAGAATTTTAAACCAAAGAATACGTTGCCAACTTCCGAACAAAAGTGCTTTTTCGACCCACTTTTTCAAGCTCAAATTATTTTCCATTTCTAGAAAATTTTTTCAATGCGTCGTGTTTCACAATTCCCTGTTTTTCAGGCAAACGCGCATGTACTGAAAAGCGACATAATTCCCGGCCGATAAGAACGGATGAACGTTGGAAGCATAGTGTAAGCCGCTTGCATTGGTCATCGGGAGTTTAGTTAGGACGTTACGGCAACGATCTATATTTGCCTTGAATCTTTGATGCCGGATAAATTTAAAATGCAAAAATATAGCTTTAGGGAATAGAAAAAAACCTGGCTCGAAAACCGGAAAAAATAATAGGCTTTCTACGAAATACCTCGAAATAAATAAACCTTTTAATCGGTTGTAGTCAAAGGCATACGTTCTTAGTAAAGTATTTTGATAAAAACAGTGGCCATATCCTTCCAATCCTACCTTATATAATTTGGTCGCGTATGTGTGTGTGTGTGTGTGTGTGGATGTCACTTTCGAGGCCCGAATTGAGGGCCTTCCCGTGTCCAAAATGCCCTAATTCTCCGTCACTCGGGGGAATCGACCCTCCTCTTTCCGATGGCGCTTTCAGAATCCCGATAAAATACAAGTTTACAAAGTTAAAGCCGGTTTTATTGTTTTTTGGGGGTCCGGGAGGGCTAATTTGCATAACGTGAAAAAATACAAATTTCCTCATTCTTGCCAGTTGCACTCGCCAGTTTGGTCGTCTCTTTGGAACTGCCTCTTGATGCCTTTCCTTCCCCGGCCCCGGGCAATGCCCAAAAAGGGTTTTTGGCGCGCGCTGCCAAGCATTGCATGGTGTAGTGGTTAGCGCTTCGCCGTGCCAATCTAACCATCGGAGGTTCGATCCTCGGATATCGTGGTTGTTTTGCTTTTTGCTCGGAAAGTGCGTTTCGGAGTAGATTGCCGTGTAGGGACATTATTATCAAGTTCGTCACTCAAGCCGTAGCCTATAGAATGAAGCTATCAAGCTAACTACTCAAGCTAGCGCCGCAGGCTTTAAAACGAAGCTAGCCGCTCAAGCTAGCGCCGCAGGCTAACGAATATAGCCAACCATTGAAGCTAGCGCCGCAGGCTAAAGAAGGGGGTTACCGCTCAAACTTGCGCCTCAGGCTTTCTCTCGAAGCAAACCGCTCAAGCTGGGGCCGCTGGATAAGGATCTGGCCGATCAAGGATGCGCCGCAGGTCTAATAACGACCCTAGCAATTTAAGCTTGCGCCGCATGTCAATACAAAGAGGTTTCCATGGGAGATGCGTTTTTCTTTGTTCAGGGTAACTTTATGTGGAAGGGCGCTCGATTCATAGGCCCTAGACGGGGTCCAGCGGGGGAGAGTCGCGAAGCGGCTCCTCCCCCGCTGGTTTTAGATAAGTTTGCGGTCCCGAGCCTAGAACTTTTGTACTTGTCGCTTCCCATCGCTTATCGCAGGTTATGCAGGCAACTGGTCTGCACAGAAAACCGTCCATTTTTTAGGCCTCTCCAGGAAAAATAATATGTGCTTGATTTTGCTACTATCATTGTCACTTTGTTTCGAATCTAATTCGTTGATGCGGCTCAGCTCGCTTCAGCCATTAGTAGGCTTCACTAGGGCCGAATTTATTACAAAAAAGGTAACGCAATAGCATCGGTGAGACTAGAACAGCATCGACCGGACTTTGGGGTAGAACCAAGGCTACCTTGTGCATTTTCTCCTTGTCCTAGAATATATTCCGAAACTTTTTATTTATCGAAAGTAGCTGATTTTGGGCTTTTTTCGGGCTGAAGTAGTTCATACCTTTCAAGAAATGTCTATTCTGCACAAACGGTAACCAGATTCGGAATGAGCGTAGAACTCTGCACAATAAAGCCTTGGACCAATTTTGAAGTCCGAATGACACTCAAAAACGTCTCTTTGCTAGAACTACACGGTAGTGGCTGGTTGTGGCAGGGCATGTAGCCTTCGACTGGACGTGGGCCTGCAGGGCCTGACGGGCGGCCGGGCACCTCTATACGAGAAAATTCCGCTAACTGCCAATGGTCAGCCAATCGCTTACGATCAATTTCAATAGTGAGTTTCGTTGGCAGTCCGTTCATTTTCAGAGTGCTCTTTATTTCGACTTTTTATTTTTTCGATTGCTTCCGACCTCGCGGCGAAAAACTAAAAGCTATATTCTAGCACATGGACCGCGAAGCTCTCCTATGGAATGTCGCTACGGGCCACCAACCTCCCGAATCCAATCACTCTGGACGAGCGGCCTGATTTCACAAATTACACGACTCAATGGGCCAACTACACATATGTCTTCACCGTAACCTCCGACTATTACTATAACAGTAAAACATCAAGACAAAGAAATTTCCGGATATTCAAATTGATTTTAGCACCCGTCGAGAGAATGGTGCATGCCGTCCTTGCCGTCCCAGACCCTCAACATTTTCAAGGGCTCAGCGGAGATCGAGATCATATTTTCTTGAGTCGAACAATGACGGGTCTCGTGTTTATGCAGGCTACGTTGTCCGAGAAAAATGTAAAAACATTGGATGATTTGGTGATTTTGATGGCTGCTTTCTTGTTAGTTCCGCCCCGGTTTTGGCGCCTCAGCTCGCAAAACAAAATGGTTTCTTTTCACAATTGCAGTTCAGAGAGGCACCAATTGCCACTTCAAGACCTATTTCGGTCTGCTTCCAAAGGGAGTCACGGAGGAGCAAAGCTTCCTCAACAGTTATACAATGCAAGTTCCATAATGACATATATTTTAAGTAAGCTAAGCGGTTTTATGCCTTCGTGATCAGAAAGTTCAAGAGACTTTTGAGGCTAAATAGGCCAGATCTTTTCCAGTAGCCAAGAGCGTGTTTTATGGAATCAACGCTGGAATCGTCCCGGCCTGAAGGTGATATTTGATGAATGCGAATACGACATCGTCGCGACTGCAACTCAAGATACAGGGAGATGGACGAAACGGTAATTCCCTTTTTGCTAACGACAAGCTTGGGTTTAGCCTATTTCTTCACGGCCCGGTCAGATACAATATGCAGACTATTTCTCTGTGCATTACCCGAACCCAGTGCAATTGCAATCTATATATAGTTTTCGGGTCGGAGGTAATATTCGAAACGTTGCGTCCACGGGATACAGGGTGTTCCAATAAAAAACACCCCCTCTAACTCGCCGGAAAAGTAGCCGATAGGAACGATAGTTACTCCATTCGACCCTTGGAAATGCCAGTCTGCATAACCATGTTTTTATTTAAACGAAACATTTTAAAGCGCATGAAAAACATTAAGGAACGACCTCTGCATCTAATTAACGGCAACTTCCGGTCATTTTGCTTGAAGAAATTGAGGCAAATTAGCCCGTATGCAACCTCGAAAAACCCGAAAATTTTACAAAATGGCTTGTAAAATGGCCGGTCTAAATAAAACCCGGTTTCGGAGATTTTTGCAAATTCGCCGTTGCAAGGGCCTTCGAATGGCGTAATTGTCATTCCGATCCGATACTTCTGCGTCGAGTTAGAAGGGCTGCTTTTTATTGGGACACCCTGTATAAATGAATGGTATTCGGCCCAAGAGACTGTTACATCAGGATATGATTTAAAAATAGATTCTTCACGGAAGATGTATCTGACGTTGACTATCCTGGTGCTAAATGGTTACCAATTGGTGTTGACCGACAACAAACCCTTCGGTTCACCGTATAACGACAGGTAAATCTAATTTTGCCGCTTACGGGATTTACGGTGAAGCATCGAATTCGCAAACGCTTCTGCGACGGTCTACTGTGCGAGTAATCTGGAGAATATCTGGGTGAGTGCCATGCGATTTTATTAGTTAATGGCTATTCCGCAAAGCTGTTTTAATCCGAAAACCTATAAAGTTGACCAATTTCAGCTGAGCAGCGATCAGTCCAAACTGGGGCATGCAATGGCACGGGTCGAAATGTGGCCTGAGAGCCCGGGAATTGATTGCGTTTGTCTGAAGGGAAACGCATCGCCAGTGGCTACATCAACTATCAAAAATGATGGATATTCGCGTTGGCGCACAAGCACTCATCTCGGCACGACCTTCATCTTCGTTTTGTTTTATTATAGCCAGTACGGTCCAAGTTAGCATCGCTTCACAAATAAATGTTTTTATTCGGCGTATGAACATCGGTTTTGGCAGTTAACATGAGGACGTATTGGGGAAAATCCTACGGATTATTCCGGGCTGGGCTTTTCAACGCCCCCCATGTTGATAAGCCGCTGAGCAAAGTTCCTGCACAAATATTACTTTTGGAGGGGCAGCAAGTTTGGTAAATCTAGCGGGGCTTCTGCCATGCACTGCTGGTTTCTCGCTCTCCTGGCAGCTCAATCACGTTTTTTGCATAGAGGTGTGGAGTTTTAATTTTCTGGGCTCAGTCTGGCAGCCTACCGTATTGAAAATAGCGCTAAAAATTACAGTGCACGCGGGCGCAAACGAGCCATTCATCTTGAGCCGACAACTGCCCTCTGTGACGGTATTTCAAGAGGATATGCTAAAACTGGCAGGCATTTTTTGGCAAAATTCCTCATCCTAAGCCTTACCCTAGTGTGTTTGTCAAATTGCAGAACATGACGATCGGCGCGGATTGCGAAACTGATTGCCGACTTCGGATCGTCATCGGACTTTCCTGCTACCTGCCAACTAGTTCCGAAGATGACAGGGTGCCTTTAATGATTAACGGCACGTTTGTGTTGGCCGATTCGTGCAGTTAGTGGGTTTTTCAGCTTGGCTTTTGGATGGTATTTACGCCCGAAAAGCGCGATTCCAAAAAGTTCGGGGCTTTTTTAGCACATGGACGTCGGCCACTCACTATGGCGTTAATTTGATGGTCAACGGTCTGCCACCCCCAATCGAACTTTCGAAATGGTCGAAAAACGCGAGCCAGGATGGTGAAAGCGACTGTCCTCGATATACATTTACCGTGCTGAGCGACCAATTCTACAAAGGTGTAAATTTTATATACAAAACAAATACTCGTCAATGCAGAAAGATCGTTTTATTGGCCCACCAGCTCAAGGATTGGCTTTGAGCTTTCTTGAACTAGACAATTTTCCGCTTAATTCCAGCGCCACCAGAGCTCTACGTCCATTCTCCATTTGAAGGAGTTATGCAGTCGATGACAAATATTGGCTCGGGCGCCGTCCATACATTTGTCGCTGATGCCCTTTACCATGTTGTTTTATTCAGAACGATTCAGCCATCAGTGGATACGGTAGACGATGCGGAATTGTCTTGTTAATCGTTACAGGGTGGCTATATCGAAGGGTACACAGGTAGTATCGACCCCGAGGGAGACAAAACGCGTTTAGTCGACACGTTCGAAATGTAAGGTTTGCTAATTTGCACCAGAAAACAGAGATCATTCGCATAAATTTGCATCGTTCCTAAACTCATTTATAGAATTTCAGGGACGGCCGCACACTCATTTCTCCAGTTAAATGGAGCGACCGTGTCGCTACGCTTTGGTTCGTCAACGGAACGTTCGATCTTGCATTCAAGAGCCTTCATGAGCTGCACAATGTTGATTCGAATGTGGTTGGTGTTTAGATAATTTATTTCACTTAGTGCTATGATAAAGCACTCCCTATTTGACGAAATGTTCATGTTTGTTGACCTCTCGAATTTTACTCATAGAGTTCTGTGGCTGGATCCGGCGTCTACGACACGCTGTATGCCGATGAGCTGAGCTACGGGCACCCGGCCGATAACATAGTCGATGGCTCTTTTGAATGGACTTACAACAATACTGGTACGAGCAATTCTGAAAGTGCACGCCGAGAATCATCTTAGGAACACCATTAATTTATTTTCGCCTAAACGTTGCTGACTTGTACGGAGGAACCCTGAAGTATAAGATGTATTATCAAAACAGTGTCAATGTCTTGGATAACGTTGAGTAAGATGTCTTGCAGCTTTTCCTTATATATTTCAAGGTTACTTTTTTACCGAAACAACGAAGGAGGTATATTGTAGCTCGCGGATAAACCGGATCGAGGTCGGTTCAAGGCAAAAACTTCACACGAACTATAGAATCAGTTTTGAAAGTCACTACGTAAAAATTGGACTAAGGTGACAAAAAAATGCAAATATCCTTTGTATTTAGTATTGATTTTCTAAGCCCCCGGAGCTTTGCAATAACTAAGCGAAGCCCTGTTTTTAGACCTACTGGGGCGCCGCCGTGACGAACGCGAGGATGCGAACGCGTTTGGAATGGCATCACCAAGATAATCCAACTCGAAAATGCACAGAAATTGTGCCGGTACCGACAGCTAGTACTGTAATAAGCAGGTCAATAAAGAAAACGATAAATAAAGGAAAAAAAGCCAGGAGAGAGAAAAAAACTGTTTCCAGCAAAACAACCCGTGGTCCACAACCTGAACCCAAGCCGGGCGAAAACCTGGCCCGGTTCGGCATAATCATTGGCTGTACGCTGGGGGGCGTCTTGCTCATTGTCGCGCTAGTTTTGTTCGTTTTATGGAGACGGTATACTTTATTCATTGAGTTTTGAGTATTCTGTTTAGAAGACGTATCCTCGAATTCGAAGAGATGATCGCTAAACAAATCGGTGAGGTTGGAGCGCGAAGCCATCTTGCACAATATCTCAAGTAAGAATTGAGAAAGTTGATCACTTTTTCGATTCCCGTCTTTTCGATCTCCTAACTTTCAGGATACAAGCGCGCGTGAACATGAAGGCCGACGCTGAGTGGGAAATCGACCCGATAGCATTGTTCTTTGGCGAGGAATTATGCAAGAATAGTCGGCACACCCATAAAAAGACCATTTTATATGGTGCGCCGCCTTGTACAATTGTATATCCAGCACTAAAGGTGGGCAAAATAATAGCCGAGCCGCTGCATAACTCACCTCAATATCCACATAGGTCCTTTACCCTGTCACGCCGAATGGAATGGAGGTCGTCGTGAAATCAGCCACCCAAGAACGTCCCAAGTAATCAATAAAATTTTCTGTTTAACTTTTTAGGATTGGAATCTTGGACGAAATCAAAGTGCTAAAAACGATTCCACCCCATGCACATTTGCTGTCAATGATAGGCTGCGTGACTAATCCCTCAAATCCGATGGTAGTGACGGAATATTGCGCTCTTGGCGACCTACTTACGCTTGTAAGGAAAATTCGCAGGAAACAGGTGTGTTTGGAAGTTATCGGGAAGACTATCAAAGCTGGACTATTTTTAGAAAGAGGACGAGATAGCGCTGAAATTTGCCGATTTTCCTTTGATCAGCTGGCAGGTGGCTGACGGATTGGTGGGACCTTTCTCTTCTCGGTTTTCATTATTTTTCAGGCCTTTCTCACAAGCATCAAAATCATCCATCGCGATGTGGCCGCCAGAAACGTTTTGCTGACTCTGGAGAAAATGGTCAAAGTGAGACTTTACATGTTTCGTTTTCAAATTCAATTTCACATTTGTGATTTCGCGCAAAGCCGCCCTGGAGAAAGCTATTATTACGTGCATAACACTCGTCAAAATCGAACACCCATCCGATGGTCGGCGCCCGAAGCCGCGTATGATGGAAAATTTTCTGAGAAATCGGACGTGTAAGAAATTAATTTGGTTTTCAAAAGTGTTTGAATTAGGTGGTCATTCGGCGTTCTACTGTGGGAAATGCATACATTTGGTCAGACGCCGTTCGAGGATATTACAATCGAAGAATTGCCCGATTACCTGAATAATGGCGGGACGGTGGTGCCGCCTGGTGATACCCCTCATTGGATGTAACTGGGCTGATTTGTATGCGCATTATTTTTGTTTCCAGGGCTGAAATCATGCGCAGTTGCTGGGAATTCAAGCCTAAATTGCGTCCTGGTATTGGGAAGCTGGCCGCCCGGCTGCGCCGACATTTCCAGTTGATGAAGCACAGTGAATATTATGTGAATTTGAGGTAAGCTTTGGCATTCTGATTAAGATAATAAAATTTAGTGATGCTCATGAAATGTCTATCGAAGTTCAAGATCGGAGTCCGGTGACGGAGGCAGTTGAAGAAACACTGAGACTATGAAATTACGCAATGTGCATAGTACTAGCTGTATTAAAAGTTATATTGCTCTTCTGTATTGTTTAGCGTTTACTGTTAATTGAGTGATTTTCTGTATAAGTTGTATAATTAAATTCTTCTAACACAAGGTATGGAATCCACCGGGTTTAGATTAGTGTGTAAAGCTATTTTTTTTTATTTTTCCATGAAAATCGAGATGACAGCAAATCCAAAAGAATGTGTGGCCTCGTAGGTAAGGGCCAGCAGAACTAATTCTCAGAAATAATACTCGTTCTCCTCTGTAACTCTAGAAAATGCCAAGTTGTATCTCTAATCTTAATATCTATGTGTTGTCTTATTGAGATGCATCAGGCTTGGTTGTTGATTTTACTTTATTTAAGGCACTAAACTACCATAACAAAGTCCTTCGGAGTCAGTAAGTCAAGGGAGCGGGTGAGAGTCAAGGGGAGATCGAAGGAAGGGGAATTCCAAGTGACGTAATTTGAGAGAGGGCTCTAGCGCTGTCACAGAATTGTCATTCCACGTTATTCGCCTACGGGAGTACGAGCATGGACCCGTGGACCCTATTCTCTTCTCTCCTAGCAGGCCACTCAACCAGCTAGTTTCAGCCCCTCCTATAATGTAGACTCTGAATCCTGACTTTAGAATGTGTGCAGACTTATAAAAAGGCGTAAAAGATGTGTTTGTATAGGTACTCGTTTGCAGATCTCAGGAGCGACTTTAACGAGGCAAGAGGTACTAATTTATCGACCGGCAAAGCCGGCGTCTGCATAATATAAAATGTAGATTGTCGGGCCGGGAAGGACAGCCGGGTAAATAGGAGGGCTTCTATCCAGAATAAGAGGCGAGCCTGGGGAGGATATCGAGGGTCCGCCGAAGCGGTCTCGGCCCCCACCAGACTGATTTTCGGGGGAGCCTTCGCCTGCCTGTTTCGAGGCAGGGGCGGGCTCTCGCCCTCCTATTTTGGGGAGTCCCAGCTGTGCCTTGCGGGCTACTCCCTACAGAATGTGAAAAATGAATTATGAAGAATGAGGAAAATGTGTATTGTCCTTAGATGGAAGCCGATCTTCCTCGTCCGCAGGGTAACTGCCCGAAAGAGCCGGTAATTATTGCTGGGACGGCCGTTGTTGTTGTGGTTGTTGTGGTTCGTGGTAACCTCTGGAAAAAGTTTTCTGGATTAGAAAAATATTTTGGCAATTTTTAATGTAAATTCCCCTAATTTTTCGATGTTTAGAGCGCAAAAGGCCAACGAAAACAATATTTTGGGTGTAAATTTTTTACGCTTAAATTACCTTCTAATTATTTTATAACTTCAGCACATCAACATCATGTAAACATTCTTCATGAACCAAATGAACTTCATTTAAACATGTGGGTCCGCCACTTCAATAATTGGTTGCCTGAAAATGTCATGTTAATACATGCCGGTTGAATTAAGCTAATTCCAGGCCGTATTGTCAAAATTAGCTTTTTTCTGGGATTGAAATTGAGTGATATTTGGGAATAATCTGACTAATTTCCTAACTAAAAAACGTAAAACTTGCCCTGAATCGTGGCAACTCTTTGTCCTTCCAAACAGGGCTTTCGCAAGCTCGTGTAGTGGAAACATCATTCGAAACCGCAATACTTCCAATCATTCCAGATCGCTGCCTGTATTTGGATTTTTGCGAAATTTTGAAATTACCTTTTTTTGTCCATTTTAGCCATTTCAAAGCACGAAATAAAAAGCAGCTCTCCATTAACCAATTCATCGTCTTACCGTGGCTCGAAAGCTTTGGTGGCCTGAATGTAATAATAAAGATAGTTACAATCCAGTTTAGCCCAAAATTCAGCGAATGTTAAGCGTAAGGTTTTGCTAAAGAAAAAATACCTGTTAACAAGTCTTTGCAATTACTACATTATAAGAACTGCAGCATTTCTTTATCGCGAATTTGCGGTAGCAACAATCATCAATGACCACTTCAACTACTAGGACGTGGGCTGAAAATTCGTTCACAGAGAGCACGCCGGAGCATACCGCTTTAAAAAATTTCTCCTGGCAAACATGAATAAATATGGTGCGGTGGCATTTTAAGTTCCACGACGAAACGATCATTGGTTTATAATGAACAACGATCTAAAGTGGATTAGACGTTTCGCTGACCAACAAAGTTTTCACAAGAACTTGAAGCTTTTCTCGTGCTCGACATCGCTTTCCAATTTTCGCATGCTGTATGTTCTCCTGCGCGGTTGCCGGCATTTTATTTAGCCTCAATTCTAATTTTGTCCTTCTTATTTTTGAAAAAATGGCACTTACATTGCTCTTTTTCATTTATTTTATCCACATCATTTAAAATCGACCGGCTCCGAAAGAATGTTCCGAAACAGCTGAATTGGGCGTAAACTTGCACCCAATTTTAGACGGTTTTATTAGAAAACCGTCAACATGGAGAAATTAACCAAGATGAGGTCGCCTAGACAAGCTGCAAAGAACGCTATAGAGCACAAATTAACCCTAAAATATACAGAACAAAAAAAGCAACGTCATTGATCGGCGAGCTCATTTCAGATATTCTGGACAAATTCAACACCAAAATATAAAAATTGTTTATTTGCTTCATAGTTATGGAAGTTATATTCCTTTGTTGAAATCATAGCAAATATCATCGAGCGGCGGCACTTTATTTTATTCTAAATTACCGAGTTAACATATTGACAAATAGGCAGAAAGCTCTAAATAAAGAAACTTCTTACCATTTCCTGTCATCGACCGTGGCGTATACCCAGCTTTGAATTTGGGAACCTTCACATTGCAGGTTTTTTCGTGGAGCCATTATGGTTTGATGATGCCATCGAGACGACCTCTTCCTCTGCTCGCAGCCTCCCAGCTAAAATATTCCGCATGATCTTCACAAAATTTAAACTCACATTTCGTGGAAAATCGGCAGCATTTTTTATTCCATTTTTCGGAAATTCCAGTGAATTTTGACCCGCTGATACCACCCGAAAAGGTAAAGCCGGTTCTGGTCGTTTCTTCATGGGCAAATACAGTTTTTCATTGAAGACCTCACGCTTTCGATTCGCCTTGGATAATGCCAACTAAAAACCTTGGTCTTAAGAAGAAATTTCTTCTCAAACCTAGCTGGTTTCTCATGACCGCCGGAAACCATCCGTTCACATTTCCGCTCCGGCGTATAGTTTCCATATTTTAGCTTTGTACCGGTCGCTAGAAAAGGGGAAAAGATTTCTAGAAAATCATGGAACTTACCATTTTATAGAGATTTGGTACAGATGGGCCAAGTAAGTCCTCATTCACCCTTGGAGCATGAATCAAATTTTTAAATAGTCGCTCTGGCCGTCCTTGTCCTTTTCGCCATTATATCTAATACAGCTCAGGATCTCCTGCGTATATCTCTGGGGGTCCTTATATCGGAGTGACGGCTAAAATCAAAGCAGTAATTAGAAAAGCATGCGACTTACCATTAGCCGGTTTGCCTTCTCATAATTTTTCAAATCGTTGGCTTCCGTGGTTGGTTTTAGTGACGTCAACGCACCAAATTCGATCCTGCATCAGGAGAAATTTTTTCGAGTATCAGAGTTATCATTTTATAGCCACAGCGGGTTTTTTTTTGGTAAATCGCGGCCATTTTCGACATTCTTTCGAGCATGTGAATTCCATTAAAAATCAATTCCACTCCAGAACGGTAGCTTTTTGCCGTTGCCGCGCGGATTGGCTTTTGATTTTCCATATGAACCCATTCAAATCTTCATAGACGTCTGCCGGCAGGGCTGCTCCGATAGACGGGTGAGGGCTTTTCTATAACAGAATTAGCTTTCAAGCATTCAAGAATCGAACCTGAAGCTATTTGTGCATGAACGGCATACAAAATTACCGATAGTATCCGTCAGCGCCAGTTCGTCCCGTTCTCTGAAAAGAAACTATTGCTCATTTAATTTAGCCGATTCGGCCTGTAATTCTGGAGCCAAATTTTTGCATTTTTGCAGCTATTCCGTATCTAGAAAAACAGTGACCTGCCTGACGGTTGCCCATTTCTTGCTCCTCCTCCTCATCTTCACCATCGTCTCCCAACAAACTTCGATAATTGACAACCGAAGAACTTTATCAGGGTGCCTTGCTTTCTCCCCTGCGCTGATGGTGTCGATCAGCTTTTGCAGCTTGGCCTTGGCCGCTCGGATCTTAACAGATCTACGGCCCTCCACGTCTATTTTAGCGAAGTCCTTGTTCTAAAATGCGATATGCTCCGTAGGGACGCTTATCTTACGCTATGGACAGAAGCAGCGAAATGGTCAAGTATGAAGTCAAAGTTTTTGCCTAGACTTCTACGAGCCTCGGAAAAAGCTTCGTAAGCGTCGTCCAACTGCAAAAAGCTACGCCAGATTTTCATATTTGTCTACCTTTGTGTGTCATATACGTTTTTAATCGCTTCAATAAACCGTCTAAGACCCAGCGTTCGCTGCTGAAGCTGAACCCTTTAAATCCATAGCAGTGGCGGTGCCGCCTCTCATCTTGGTGAGCTCAACCACTGCAAGTCTGTGTTCAAAAAGCCCTAATTCATAATGTCAAAGTTTTGATTATGTGGAAATTTCATAGGGTCGAAATCTCAGAACGTGGAAATTACATGAAAAAATAATGCAATAATGCGATTCTCGACACCCAACAACTAGGCAACTAATTTCGACGTCTTGAAATTCCGATACCTCAAAATTAGTTACTTAGTATTTTGGATTTGTACCAACACTAATGCCTGTACAAAATAATTTACGGGCTCTCTTCTGCTATAAAAATTAAATTGGCACAAAATTCACATTTCGAATAGCTTACCTTTATTTTTGTCGTATTTTAGTACGATGCTTTATGCAGACCGGCATCTTATTCGTGACGTAGCCCCAAGCCTAAAAATCAACATCTCAATTTTACAAAAGTTGAAGAATCATAACAATGACCCACCCGTTGTCTTAAAGTCATTAATAAACGTTTGGATTTAGATTTTTTTCATCATCATTTCATCGGCTTCTATGCATGCTATTCTAAAAACCGCAAAATTGTTTAAGCTAAATTTACTATTTTAACGCTAAAGATTTTTAATGTCCAGTTACGCACCTTTTAAATTTCATTTTATATCATTCAAAACATTATTTAACATTCATCTGCTCGAAATTAACTTCCAAACAGTAAAATCCAGCGCAGAAGTTGCACACGATTTTAGACGATTTTTTAGAAAACCGTCAACGTGGAGAAACCACCCAAGATGAGGTCGTCAAGGTTAGCTGGAATGGGGGTTAGAAAATGCCAAACGGCCCTAAAATATACTGAAATAGAGTCTAAAAGCAACACCATTATTCGGCGAGCTTATCAAGAAGGTATTTTAATTGAATTCAATACAAAAAATAGAAAATCAATTTATTTTCTCAATGCGCTTCGTTCTTCGGTTTGGCCGGTCGCGAGTTAATAATCACTCCGTTCTCCTTTCTAAACAATTTAATTAGTAGTTGAGTTTAATTAGATTAGCTACCTTTTCAGACGATTTGCATTGCCCAGATGCAAAATTCTATGGAACAATGCAAAAAAGAAAAGCAGGTAATTGAATGAGCATGCCACACGGAATCACCACCCAGAGAATTAGCAACTATTTAAAACTAAATATTACATTCAATCGTATGTATATTTTCTTTCACCTTTTTCATTAAGCCCTGATTTGATTCCAACACCACGGCAGCTACCCAGGATTCCCCCTTCCTCAAAAACTATAAGAAGAATATTGACGGGAAAATCTCGGGGTGGATGGACCTCCAGATGGCATACTTCAAAGGCCCAGATTTCAATTAAGTTCGCGGCAATAACAGGCGCCAGAAGATGAAATGAAACTTGAACATTCGCTCGTGAATCTCTAATCCCTGAAAAAAAAGTAAATTTGCGTTTAAAGGTGATTAAAGGCGCCAGGAAAGGGGGTCCATAGATTTTTTTATGCTAGTTTTCTCGGGCATTTTTAAGCCGCTTCAAATACCTTTTTTTCTTTCAATGCCGAAGTGTCGCGTAAAAACGGGGAGCATGGAATTTTTTATATTTTTCTTCTTCTTCTTTCAAGCGATACCTTAAAAAAATCCTGTTAGTAAGTAGTGGAAGTAAAGGATAGACTCACCTAGAAACAAATTTCTGCTCAGCTCCATCACGCGGTACAGGACACCATAGAAGAGGGAAAGTAAACGGCCAGTTTAGCGTTGATATACATCTGTCCGAACCGAATGAATCACGGTCGAAGAATTGTGAGTCCGTGAGAAAGGAGTACGGTGGCCTTTTCTAAATGTTTTGAAAGTATTTATATGGTTTTATTTGAATAAGTTTTATTACCAAAAAATTATCGTGTGACTTGCCTGTGCCTTTAAAAAGTCTTCAAATCTTTTCAAATTCATTTAATTTGACTTACTGGGTCTGATTTTGCTATCTTTCCCTCATTTTCGTTTATTTTTATAATTGCTATCCATTTTCTAACAGCTACCATATCCTTTAATCCCAGTAGCATCTAACATCACCAGAGATTTTCCATTTCCTCAAAAAAAGTTGTAATCAAATTAGCCAAAGAAACATACACGATTTGTTATCCGCCTTATGGTCCAGAAAAGTTTAAGGCTGGGTGGTGATTGTAGTAGAATTGTTAAAGGTGTAAACTGGTTGGCGTGCTGCGGATATCGCGCTTCCAATTCAATCTTTTATCTACATAAAATGGTAAAAGAGGTGGTGGGGGCTTGGTCTCTCGTTTCTTTCTCTCTCTCTCTCTCCTTGTCTGGCTCCTGGGGGACGTATTTATGGTGGGCATGTGTGGGGGTGGTGGCTTCTGGAAAATATTCGTTAATGGATTTATGTTTGGTGAACGCGGGACGGTCGAACGCCCTTTGCACCGGAAAGGCGCCTTTTGGCTGTTCAATGACCAGATCCTAGTCTATAGTCGGTGAACGATTTTATGATTTGGCGGGTAGCACTTTATGCTGACTAAGTAAGAGAAAAATGCGTTTAGTAGAGTTGGCGGGTGGCACTGAATGCCGTTTGCTTCTACACATATTTACAGTCCGGAATTGTCCGGAACTTCGCATCTGGCGTTTGTTCTTCGCTTTTGGATCGGAATTCCGATAGGCTTACTAAAATTAACAATTTTATCTCATTTCGGCCAGTTTTTAAGAAGCAAAAAATGTTCGAATCGTTCTAATACTTTAAAATTGACTTACTGGGGCAGATTTTACTACTTTTTTCTGGGGTTGTTTCTCGGAACAGACCGAGATTCGGAACTTTCGGAACAAAGAATGGTCGGAACGTTCCGAGATTCGCGTGTTCCGGCTGTTCCGAGATTCGGAACATTCCGAAATTCAAATGTTGCGGTTGTTCCGAGATTCATGGTGTTCCGACTGTTCCGAGATTTGGCTGTTCCGACTGTTCCGAGATTCGGAACAGTCCGAGATTGAGCTGTTCCGAGATTCAAATTTTTTTCGCATGTAAATTTCGATTTCGTGTAAATTGTGTAGATTGCACGTAACTGTTTCGATTTTGCCGTGACACGGCAGTGTGGGCGCAACTGAACACTTAATTACGTCGATGGTTAGATATTGAATCTGGAAATTAAGGAAATGAGAACGAATTGGGGGATCGAATTGAATCGAAATTCAGTCGTGTTTGGAAATTTACATGCGAAAAACTTTGAATCTCGGAACAGCCGAATCTCGGACTGTTCCGAATCTCGGAACAGTCGGAACAGCCAAATCTCGGAACGTTCCGAATCTCGGAACAGTCGGAACAAGATGAATCTCGGAACAATCTCAACATTAGAATCTCGGAATGTTCCGAATCTCGGAACAGCCGGAACACGCGAATCTCGGAACGTTCCGACATTCGGAACAGTCGGAACGGTTGCTGTTCCGAATGTTCCGAATCTCGGCCTGTTCCGAGAAACAACCCTACTTTTTTCCATAATTTCCTGTCGATTTATCGTTTATTGCCATTTTTCTCAAAATTCATCATTTTCTTGTGTTTGGCCAGCGTCCGGTTATCGTTCGGTTTTCTTTGGCCCTGAAAATATGGTAATCAGAACAGGAAAATATCACCAATTTTTCCGCCTTTAGCCCGGTGATATGCTAAGGCTGGAATTTTTAACATTTAGCTTTTATTCCTCCTCGGCAGTTCGGAATTCAGTCAGGTTAACTAAAATTAAGAATTCGATTGGATTTTCACCTGAAAGAATTAGAATTAGAATTAATTTTACATTATTAGCATTTAAAGGAATCGTAAATTGTCTGAATTTAATTAATATCACCAATGCGCTTGACCCATTATTTTTAAGTAAACAAACCAGCTTCCTGGTCCTTTTGCATCCTTCCAATTTTTGCATGACAAACATAGGTCCTTAACCCTGAAATTCTAAGGTTATTTTAAGTTTGAAACTGCAATACCATCAGCCCCTTAGTATGTTTGCTGCTTTGACCAGCTGCATGCGTCGCTGTCCGCTGCATTAACCACGTAATCGGCTGGGTTGCCTCCATCTTTGATATGAGTCTTCACCCGATGTCAACATCTAAAACTTGAAATATATTTAAAGAAACTGATTTATTAAGACCAAAAAATTTTTAGCCGAGTTTAACAGCGTTTTTGATGGTTATATGGACTATCGAAACAAATTAACTTGTATATCATCGGTAGTGATTGGGCGATTCACCGAGCACGATTACCAGCAGTGAACCATATATCAGGTTGGTAGATAAGTCCTGTCACAAATTTTTGAAATCGCTCTAGCAAGCCGCAAAAACTTCCAATTTCCACTTGCGATACATGATTTGATAGGTCTTGGGAGGCTCTACCGTGGGTGCAGTCGGATAGGGTCCGAAAATTGTGGGTCGCCGAGATAACGGCCCTTGAAGATTTTTGAATAACTACACAAATGTGTTTTAGCGAGTTATCTCTGCATGCCGTGATTTGCAGGCGATACCTTTAACACCAATCGATAGCTCTCAACGAGTAGATATCGATAGATGTTGGGATCATCAAAATCGGACATCAGATGGCCGAGATATGGCCTCTTGAAATTTGGCCCGTCTCTTAGAACTTTTGACGAAATCCCATACATTTTGACAAAATTTTCTCGGTGCGCTCAAAACAAAGCGGCAAAGTTTGGCCCAAATGTGCAAAATCTATGGGATTTTGGGAAAAGTTCTAAGAAATGGGCCAAATTTCAACCGGGCATATCTCGGTCATCCCGTGTCCGATTTTGATGATCTCAACATCTATCGATATCTACTCGTCGAGAGCTATCGATTGGCGTTAAAGGTATCGCATGCAAATTGCTCTATGCAGAGATAACTCGCTTCAGAAATGTGACTAGAATTTGAGCGAAACTTTTCGAAGCTGTATCTCGGTGACCAGCGACTTTTGGGTCCTAGAAGGGTCATGCCGAGGTAGAGCGTCCCAAGACCTATCAAATCATGTATCGAAAGTACAAATCGGATGTTTCTGCGGCTTTATAGAGCGATTTCAAAAATTCGTGCCAGGACTTATCTACCAACCTGATATTTTTACTATTTTTTCAATAAATAAAATAGGATTCGACTTTTCTTGATGGTTGATGCGTATGAATTTTTCGTCGGGGAAATCATTGCACTTTTCACCTTAAAACTCGTATTTTTTTTACTTGCAGCTTACTTTTTCACAGCGCTTTCATAGTTTTCATTTTCATTTTCACAAACTTGAATGAAACTTAAATTGTTTTGCTCTATAAAACGTGTATACTGATTTTCAACTAAACGAACCAGCTTGGTGGTCTTTCTACATCCTTCCAATCATTGCGTACAAAAGATAGGACCTTAACACTAAAAATCTGAGGTTATTTCCCGCTGAAAACTTTGCAATACCTTTCAGTCTATCAGTATTTTTGATGCTTTGACCAGCTGCATACGTCCCTGTCTGCCGCATAGACCACATAGCCTGCAGGGTTGCCACCATTTTTGATGTGATTCTATTCCCGATTTAACATCTAAAATTAGGAATTTATTTAACTCAACTGCTTTATTAAAAAAAATGTAGCTGAATTTAACAGCGTTTTTGAATCGTTATATGGACGTTCGAGACTAACTAACGTGATCGCCGGCAGCGATTGAGCGATTCACCGAGCGCGGTAACCAGCGCCGTCGTATATATATTTTCTGTTTTTTTTCAACAAATATATTCGGATTCTTGTGTTTCTGTGCACTAAAAATTATTGTTTAGCATTTTGGGTTAAGGTGACTCATACCTTTACTAGCAGCGTGTCCACAGAATTCTGATACTTGTTGTTTGGCGGTTCGGCCGCGTCGTTGGACCTCCCTAAAAAAGAGATGTACAGGCTGGCGGACGATCCCAGGAAGTTCAAAATCTCCAACCTGTTTGACCGGACAGCCGGTCATTCGTTTCCTATATTCTTTTCTGGGACATGTAACCTGGCATGAGCTGTAGGTATTTGCAGACATCCACCGTACAGATGCATCGCTTTTCCACATCCGGATTTTGCTGCTTCCAGCAAGCTACAAACCAACGTAAGTCGAAACATTTCCAAGCTAACTTTTCTAAACATGGCGTTTTCGAACCGTTTTACGTTCGAAGTTTTACGTTTTAGGCAAAAAAACGGATGCAGTTTACCTTTTCAGTGTTAATGTCCTCATATGGCCTGCGTCCCAGAAACATCCCGAGAAGGATTCTATTGTTTCCCCCATTCCAGCAGACCAACATAACCTCTAAAGATGAATACTAGAAAATTATTCGACGCTAAATTCCAAAAAACCAGGTATATTTTTACTAACCTTTTCTTGCATTCTGTTCAGATCAATAAAAAAATCGAAAACTACATTTTCTGCAATAATCATACACTCACGCTCTCTGTGTTATTCGCAACTTTTCTACTACTTCAAATTGCCAACCAAAAATTTCAACGTCCGATGTGATTCTTGAGCATATATCTTTAAAAAAAGATGCCATTGATTTTTCCAAAAATAAAATTACTCACCTGTTTTAACATCCTGTTCCGCTTCAAACCTGGTAGAGGTTGAAAAAAATTGTCCTCGCATCGAGCCCGCCCGTGTGTAGAGTTCACACAATTTTCTTGCAAGCTGAGGTGATTGTTGCTGCAATTGTTAGACTTGTCCAAAACAGTTAACAAAACAGTTAGTTTTGAATTTTTGGTTTCCTAGCCCGTTCCAGTTTACAAATTTGGTCAAAAAATGAGAATTCCAGGGTTTTTTGCTCACCTGCTTTTTTTGCAATTATATTCGGATAGTACTACATTTGCCAAGGCAACATTTATTTTTCTTTGTAATCTTCCTTTCAAATTTCTTCTTCTTCCATTTTGAAGATGTTTTTTGCACGGTCTAAAAATCATATTATCCAATCCGCGGTTCCGGGCACGCTAGCACAGAAAATTCAGGCCTAAGCAATAAGAGGATCGTCCGTTTTCAGGGTAAAAAGATTTTCAATTTCATTCATTTCGCATTCGCATGGTCATAAATCGAAAATTCCTTTTTGAAAAATTTAAAAACCGAACAAATATGGTCAAATTTCCAACCGATTCTATATAATTTCTGTATAATTCTTTCGATAACTATTCTATATAATTCTTCTATAATTTCATGAAATTTAGAATTCAAAATTGGCTGGCAACCATGATGGGATCTCGCCGGTACATCGTTTATCGATTCTCAAATTTCTAGCGCAGATTTCAATAATTTTTTTAATTATGCGAGAATCTAACTTACCTTCATATTTCCATTTTAAGTCGCTTAGATCATCAGTTAAAATTTATCTGCTTGAAATTAACTTCCAAAGCAGTCGAATCAAGCGCAAAAATTGCATGCAATTTAGACGATTTTCTTAGAAAACCGTTATCATGGAGAAATCACCCAAGTGAGGCCGCCGAGGTGGGCTGGAATAGTGAATAGAAAATGCCAAAGGGCCTGAAACCACTTAAAAAAACGTGGAAAGCAACACCATTGATCGGCGAGCTAATATGAGATATTTTAATTTAATTGAACACATAAAATGCAAAAAATATTTATTTTCTCAAGCCGCTGGTTTTTCGATTTCTTTCTTCGACTTCTTTCGGTAGAGGGCTCTCGTTGGCCGCCACCCACTTTCAAAAAACTTAGCTGGTTCGAAATTGTATTAGAATAAACTAACTTTGCTAAATTCATTTTAAATTTGAATATCATTTTATCAAATTCCATCATTTCCGGTCAGAGATATTGGCCTGTAGTTGGCGAGTGCTTTTTTCCCATCCAACAGATTCTCAAAATTCCCAGTAAGACTACCAAAAAAATTTATCAAATTTACGATGAAGAAAAACTGGCTTACCTTCATATATCCATTTTAAACCGTTTAGATCATGGTCAAAAATTCAACTGTTGAAATTCACTTCCAAATCAGTATAATCGGATACAGAAATTGCATCCAAATTGAAGACGGTTTTTTTAGAAAACCGATAAAATGGAGAAATTAACCAAGATGAGACCGCCGGGGCAAACTAAAATGAAAATTAGAAAATGCTACAAAAGCGCTAACATATGTAGCAAGATATTAAAAACAATACCATTATTAGGTAAGTTCATTCAAGATATTTTATTTTAATTCAACACCAAAATTGTAAACATATTTATTTCCTCGAGCTAGACGTTTTTTCCATTTCACCCAATAATTCTTGGCCGGGCGGTTCATCAGTATATTACAGTCCCTTCAGCGCAGCAGCAAAGCGACATCCTCAATCTAAATGGATTGCATAAAGCAGCCATAGCAAATCAGACCCCACCCAATCGTACCTTTATGACCTCAATCTCTTCATTCGTTAAATGCCGCGGTGATGCTCCAGGCCGTATTTTCTATAGGTGATAGGTCTGGTATTTGAGTAGATGATACCTGGACGAAATCGGCAGCCTTGGAAACCGCCTCTCCCGAATTGGTTTGGCCCATTGCTTTTCAAAATTACCGTCCGTAGTTTAGCACTAAATATGCATACTTGCAAGCTAAATGGTACTGCACACCTTTTTGCCTGCCACGGGTCTTGAGCAGCGCGTCGAAATTTTTCGGGATTTACAGCGTGCCGCTAGAATTTTGCTTTTACTATAAAAAAGGAAGATTTGCCGGTTCTTTAGGATTTCCGGGGGAGTATTTCCGGGGGGAAACCAAATTTTTTCGGCCCAAGCCTAATTTTTTTTCTAAATAGCACATGCGTTTCTAAATGGTTTTTAACTAGTCCTGAGCATAAAAACTACACATATTTTAATTAAAAAATTTAATTTTAGGTCGAAAAATCCTATAGAACCTTTAGGATTAGCGGGGGAAAGACCCAAAATGACTAAATTTTCGACTTTTCAAACATTTTTCTAACTTTTTTGAAAGGTTTTTCTACTTTAAATATAGTTAAAATTTGCTAAAAACAGTGTGAAAACACTTTATATTTGATTACTAGGTCGACCGGGAAAACCAGGAAAAAATTTGGTTTCCCCCGGAAACACTTCCCCGGAAATCCTAAAGAACCGATTTGCCTTGCCTGTTCAACGACAATTATTCAAAAATGACTTAAATACCTTTACTACACCGATGAATCGTAGACCTTCATGACCTCAAGCTCTTCATTCGCCAAATGCCGATGTGGTTCTCCAGGTCGTATTTTCTATGGGTGACAGGTCTGGTAATTGAGTTGACGATACCTGGATGAATTCTGCAACCTTGGAAACTGCTCTCCTAGGAAGAGATTTCCACGCTTTTTTTGAAAGCTGAATGGCGTTGTTCCTCGCTTAACGCAAAAATTGTTAATTAGCAACTAGACGCAAGTGCAACCTGTTGAGATGCAGAGGTGCCTCGGCGGGGAAATCAACAGTTTTGGGGATAAACATCGTCCCGCTAAAGAGTTTGCTTTTCTATGAAAAACACTAACTCATTGCATCGAATCCGCAATACGCGGCGTTGTAGCGGAAGTGCTGGCCACATTTTTGGTCTTTTCTTTTCTCCTATTTCTATGTATATACTCTAAGAACATTGCTGATCTTACTTGGCATGCCATCCATGAAGATCATCGCTTTTGGGTCCATTCTGCTTGGTCCCTGGTTTTGCCCATTTCTTTTCAAAACTGCTGTCCGTACTTCCGCACTAAATATGCATAAATACAAATAAAATGGTATTGCAGACCTTTTTCACTGCGGCAACTCGTTGGCCCGGAACAGAAAATGTTTTGGGGATGAACATCGTCCCCCTAAAATTTTGCTTTGTTATCAAAAAGGACGAACTTGCCTTTTCTTTTTTATTTAATTCCACTGCCATAGGACCTGCTCTTCAACAGGATACATTTTTTTATCTCTTCAATCAATTTGCACCCTCAGCGCCCGTGGTTCCTTTCTTTTCGTCTAAAGTATATATGGGTCGAAGCCCGGGGGCGCCGCCAAAGGCGCCTCCCGTGGCACCCCCTAGGGGGCGTGCCGAGTGGCGCCTGGGGGCGCCGCCCATATGATTTTTAGCGGGGCGGGGGGCGTCACCAACGGCGCCTGTGTGATTATGCAAATTTTCGACTTTAATGTTAATTATTCATTTCGAGCGGAAGAGCAACGAACACTAGAGCGGAGCTTGCAATGAACTTTTTCCCTTGCACTTCAGAAATGCCTAGTAACTTAATAGTCAGTCAGTTAATAATGTTGTTAGTAAAATTAACTATATTTTAAGTGGAAAAACAATTTTTTTTTTAAAAACTTGCGAAAATTGTAGGTGGAATTTTCGAACTTGGAAAAGTGAGATTCGAAAATCGGCGATTTTTGGCAGATAAATCGATTTTTTTTTCGATATTTTAGTTAAAGCTTGTGAAGTTACTTTGGGAATAACAACGCTTTCGAAACACTTCTACTATATATTTTAGAAAAAAGATCCTTAGAAAAATGGTTCCCCATAAACTCCCCCTTCCTCTATAATGCAAAAGGATCCGGATTCGTCGGGTATTCTTCTTTCTTTGATAACAGGCATCAGCAGTCCAATCTCATTCCGATAATAATTTTGAATGTTTTGATTTGCATCTCGGTTTCCCGGCGCCTCCTGGTCCGCCCAAGGCGCCGCCACAGGCGCCATTCAGCACGCCCCCAGGGGGTGCCTCGGGAGGCGCCTCTGGCGGCGCCCCCGGGCTTCGACCCATATATAGTCTAAAGCATGAGCGACTTCCGGAAAAATCTATTTTGGTCTTACTTGGCCCGTTTTCATGCAAGATCTTCGTCCCTGATTTCCCCGTTTTTTTTTTGAAAACTATCGTCTGTAGTTTTGCACTAAATATGCCTAAATACAATCAAAATGGAATTTCACACCTTTTTGGCTGCTGGGACACCTAAGCCGGAGGTAGAATGATTACGGAGTGTACAGCGTCCCGCTAAAAATTTGGCTTTTCTATAAAAGAATTAGTTTGCCTTGTCTTTTTCATTTAATTCGACTGCCACAAGACCTGCTCTTCAACAGGACACATCGTTTTTATATCTTCTATTAATCTTGACTCTCAGAGCCTGTTCTTCCCGCTCGTGCGTTTTTAATTCCTAAAAGATATAGGCAATGTTATTTTGCGAAAGAAGCATGCTATAATATATATTTTACCTGAGGCCGAAGGGGAGTTGCCGTAACCTCTCCAGCTGCACCAGTCCTTCGAACCGTGATGGGACTCAGAGGACTGACCCTGCTTACTTGTGATTTGGGGAACTAAAGTGTTCCACCAATTGGTTGACCTTCTGATTGGGCCGAGTATTCGACATTCTAAATTTCTCAGGTATCATTTTTATGCAAAACAAAGCAGAAAAAAATTCTATAGCAATTTCTGTAGCAATCCGTACCGGATTAAGCTTAATTTCTGCCGTTGGATCGTGTGGCTGCTGCCGTAGCTGTGGCTTCTCCCATACCCTCCAACGTAACACCGTCGATGCCGCTCCCAAGCATATCGCATACCTGGGCTTCGTCAATGCCAAGCCATGTGGAGCCGAAAGCTTTTTTCTAGAACTCCTAGTTCATATGTTGAGTCTGTAAAATCTTTGCCAACGTGTGTAATGATAACGCAGCAAAGACCAATATTTGCAGTCAATTTTTCGAAGACAATCGGTCGACTTGCTGAGGTTTCCTGAATTCTTGAAAACCGTTTGGAGTCGTTCTTCACCCTACCTCTGTCCACCTGGGCTAGTTGCTTCGTACGTCACATTCGCCCGGGTACCGGTTTTTCAGTTCGTCCACAAGGTAAATTTTCGTTAAATATCTTCTATCAATTTTGTATCGTTAACCAATCCTTCTTCCTCGCGCATTTTCTTTTATTTTCGTCTAATGCATGATATATTTCCGGGAAAATCGATACTGATCTTACTTGCATGCCATTCCTCGACTTACTGGCACCTCTGGGTCCATTCTGCCGGATACCGGCAACGTTCGTCGATATCGGCCCGGCTAAAACATTTTGATAAATGTTTTCAACAGAAAATATATTTATTGCCCATAATCGTACGTTTCCCTCTCTTTCCATACGTTTTATAGCTCTACAGTTGCTTCATCGATTTTTCAAATTATCGTCTTCCTTTTTCTCATTTTCCGTACCGGTGTCCTGGAAATGGTGCAAATACGGCCATACCATGAGCCGGCTGGTTATACGTGCGTTCCTCGTGCCGTACCAGGGTCAGATAGGATGGTTGTATCGTAAAAAGCATACGGGGGAAAACAGTAGCACTGCCGGACGGTTGCGAAATGCTGGATTTCAGTGCGTTGAGCCGAGAAAAGTCAAATCTGCTCGCGGAGCCATCTCAATTGAGCTTCTCCATCAGATGACGCAAAACCAAAAAATCTTCCCGTTCACCTGGCATAGAAGCAAGATCGAATCAGTGAAAGGGTGCTAGAAGGTGTCATTCCGCCTGAAATTCATATTTTTTCGATTCGGCCGTTATAAGCAAGATAGCAGAATTTCTTGAGGCCTAGCAACTACAAGTGCAATCCGGCTATTTCATCAGCTTTTTTTAAAAAATTCGAAAGACGTCTTCACACAGGTTTGAAAATTAGAAAAATGACCCACCGGTTTCTTACCCATCCATACACATTTATAATATCATTTGATCAGTTTCCATAAATCATTGCAAAAAATTCGGGTCCGGCATGGGATGCCACTTTGGCTTCTTTGCTTTTCCTTTTATCTACTGAATTAATAAAGCTGATTGGTTTCTTGAAAGGCTACCTACGAGCCTCATCGCTTCGGCACTTTTGGATAGAATCCCGTTAGTTTTCCATTTAATTAACATTTTTTTTGTTGTTTTGGCAGAACATGAGAACGCGTCATTCTAGTGCCTAAAATTCATATATATTTTTTGATTCGCTCGTTCTAAGAAAAATAGCAAAAATAGCAAGAAACTACATAGTACAAAATAGCCATTTTTAGGTTTTCTTTAATTCGAAATTATTGGAATAATATTCGAAAAAAGGTTAACAAAAGGTCTTGAAAATTTTAAAAAATAACCCACCGTTTTCTCTACAGCGTCCATAAGCATTGATTGTATATTTTCATCAGCTTCCAAAAATCCATTTAAATTATTGGCTCCGTCATTGGCTGCCATTTCGGCCTTCATCCATCATACTCTAAAAATCCCAAATAAATATTGCAAAACAAAACAATCGATTCTAAATTTCGAAAATTAGCTTACCTTTCTATTTCCATTTCAAATCAATCAAATCATTATTTAAAATTAAAATTTTTAAAACAATTTTCAAGTAGTAGAATCGAGCGCAGAAATTGCACCCGAGTCCGAATCGGTTTTTTAGAAAACCGTCAACATGGCAAAATCAACTAAGATGAGGTCACCAAGGCAAACTGGAATGGAAATTAGCAGATTCGAATTATCAAAAAAATTCAAAAAGAAGAAGACTCTAAAAAAGGGTTAAAAAGCGACGCCAAGAATAGGCGAGCTCATTCCAGATATTTTTCAATTAAAAGAAGATCTTAGACGGGTAAATATTTATTTATGCATTAATCTGCGGCAATATGGGATCTAAGCTGTATTGATCGTATACTCTGGGCCGTTGAAGTACGGTCCATGATTGCAGTTGTGGACATTTGCAAGCTCTTCGATTGGGCTATTTAATGCATATATTTACATCGGGTACCCGCATTTCAGCACCATCGCCTGGATTAAAAATTATTAGCTATCAACTACAGGGTGTCCCAGTAAAAAGCAGCGCCTTCCAACTCGACTTCACCCACTGCACTCGCAGAAGTTTCGGATCGGACTGATAGTTACACCATTCGAAAGCTCTTAAAATAGCCAGTTTGCCACAATCTTCAAAACCGTTTTTTTTTTGTAAACGCGCCATTGTAACGACTTTCAAAACAATAAGGAGCGGCTTCTACATCTAATTTAGATGACGTAATTAACGTCTATCTACGGTTATTTTGCTTGAGAAACTTGAGACATATTAGCTTGCATGTAATCCCAAAACATAGTAAAATTTTAGAAATGGTTTGTAAGGTGTCGAGTCTAAATAAAAACATGGTTTTCAAGATCGTTGTAAACTGGCTGTTTCAAGGGGGGTTGGATGGTATAACTATGACTACGATCCGATACTTCTGCGTTGAGTTAGATGAGTTTTTTTTATTGGGACACCATTCGGCACAGCTGACCGTCATATTCAGCTCTTCAGACGTCATCCAGTGTGGCTGGACAGTCGCGTCCTATCAACACCCGGCGTCAACCACATCCACAAGATAGCAAGCTCCACATTGATATTCCTCACATTCTGTCTCGAGTCAGAAGCCGTGTTTTTATTGAGTAAATCTGTAAATCCCGTAATTCTCCATCCGTCCCTTCATTCAAAATTATACAAGCCCTGCTTTTTGGGAGTTGTCGGCAAAACCTGACGAGACCTAGCTCAATCGATAAAGAACTCGATTCTGAACACGACTCCGTTGTTCATTTTTGCTGAATGGCTACCCCTAAGTTTAGAAATGTAAAAAACCTAGGGCCATCCCTGACCAGGGGTGCCCTTTAAGCAAAAAGAGAGGCTTTTGGGTGCAGTTTT